GGCGAGGTCGCAGGTAACGGTGCATACATACGACATCGGCTTGTTGATGCAAAGGGCAACTGCCTTATTGCAGGTGTTCGAAAGTGTGAGTGGGCGAGTCTTCCCTGGAGCCCGCTGGACAATCGTGGCGTCCTTCGCGTCGACACCTTTAGGAAGCATCAGAGCCCGCCCCCAATTGAACCTCGCGGGCGCCCTCCCCGTTTCCAAAATGCGGCAATAAACATCGCAAAGAGCTCTGAGGGCAAACGGTCCCGCACCGTGCCATGCAGAGTATGGGACCCCGTCAGGGCCTGGACTAGAATCAGACTTCGGGGCCAAGATCGGGGCGAACTCGTCGTAACACAATTTCCACTCCGGCACAGACGGCGCAGGAACCACGAAGTCCCTGAGTTCTTCCCGAGCGTCGTCATCACCATCGAGTTCGGCATGGACCTGGCCCCAATAATTGGCAAGCCCCCGGGCCGCCAGCACGGGGTCTGAGATGGCAACACCAAGCGGGTCCTCGACAGCCCCCAACGTAAAAGTACGACTCCGATTATTCCAAGCGCTGCGATGATGGTGCATCATGTTGAGCTTTTGTGCTTTTTGCTTGATCGGGATCTCGTTGTCCGCATTAACAGCGGCAATGGCCTTGTCGAGGAATTCCCTTTTCTGATGAGAGAGACATGCATGAAATCCCACTGAGTCCGTCAGCTGACACGTGTGAAGACAGAAGAACCTCCGGAGAGCAGGGAAAGCACGGCATGCACGACACAGCACCGCAGCGTCCAGGGCCCGAGTGGCACGGAGGGCTGCCAAGGCCCAGGAAGCACGTTCTTCTGCCGTCTGAGCCCCCTGCCGCTCCCTCGTTTTCTTGATCATCCTGGCAGCGCAATGCATAGCTTCGATGACTTCAGATAAGGCGGAGAGGGATGAGGAGGAGGAGGAAGAGGAGGGGGAGGAGGAGGATGAGCGCACGCCACCATGGAGGAGGAAGATGAGGAGGAGGAGGAGGACAAGGACGAGGACGAGGAGGACGAGGAGGACGAAGAGGACGTGCGAGGAGGACGCGGGGCATGGGGCAGGAGACAGGGAGGAGCCAGGAGAAAGGAGAAGGAGGGAGTGCCTGACGTCTCGTGTTCCCTCTCTGACTGATGTGGCCACAAAGCGCAGGACGGGCTGCTCACGCGGGAGAGGCCGAAGCAGTCAGGCTGACGCTGAAAACCCTGGGAATGCCGACATGGAACAAAAGGTAGTGTGTTCGCATCCGTTGGCATCTGTTGGGCTGTCGTGCTCCCCCGCTGGTTTTAGGTCGGACATGTCTTCCTACAGGCGGATTTGGGACGACAAATTGAACAAACAATTCAAACATAGTCAAACACAGCAAAAAAATCGTCCCCAGACTAATTTTGGACTACTTTTGAATATTCCTCCTGTAGAGGGACATGCCCGACTTGCCGCTGGTTCCGCCCAAAAGAATCGCCCTTTCTCGACTTCCGTGGACCTGAGCCCTCCGAAGGCGAGGCCGTCCATGTGGACGGCTCGCCCAATTGACTGATGAGCACCCCCTCCACGCGACCCCACGCGGACGACTGCCCTCGGAACTCGGCAACCGTACACCTGATGCCGATCCTGGCGGGGCCCACCCTCAGAAAACAACTCTGAGGTTTCCGTAAGAGCAGCTAAATGTTCTTAATCCCGACAACTTAGCCGGATTCGCCCGGAGCGCGCCCGGGACAAGTAGGCACAAGGTCCAAACGGATTGAGCAGGATGCAGCGGACTTGCACGGGATGATGCCTGATTCGACTTGCTTCCGACCACGGATCTACCGTTATGTCGGGCCTGTCCCCCTAGAGGGGATTTTCAACGAAAAATAAAAAACATAAATACCCCCAAAAGGTAAAACAAAACAAAAAAAGTCCCCATACTATTGTTTGTTATTTGTTTTGCAATTTTAAGGTTTTTTTTTGTTCGTCGACAATCCCCCTGTAGGGGGACACGCCCGACAATAATCTACCAGCGCCGATGCCGAAGTCAACATCCCACTAGTTGCACCCTGACCACCCTGTTTAGACGCCCGAAATGGGTACAATGCCCAACAGCAAATGTTGTCCCAAACCAACAGCAGCCGCTGTTGGGCAGGCGGCATCCCGTCTCGAATGGACACAGGCCGCGGCGGCGTGGACAGCGAGGCCTGTTCATAATGAACAAGATCCGCTGTTGGGCATTGTGCCCATTCTTTCAGTACCCATTTCGTGCGTGCAGACCCTGGGCCCAGGATCAGCGAATCCGCCCTCCTGGCTTGGCGGGGAAGGCACGCCGCCACGCCGGCCCCACGCCGCCACGCCGGCCCGACCTCGCCGGGCTCGGCACGGGGCATGCTTTTCATGCCAGCGGGCACCCCCTCTCGAAGGGAACGGGTCCTGCCCAGGGCTCCGATGTCGTGCTCTCTTTTTTTTCCATAAGCCGTCCCCGGAAGTCTCGACCCGTTCCCCAGGGCCGGCTCTTCGTCCTGAGCCGTGCTCTGACGGCCCCGCGGCCCGGCGAGGGCCTCTCGAGGCCGAATCTGGAGCTCAACCTCCGTTTCGATGTTTGTCAGCGCGTTGGATCTCTGGGTGGACCTCTCCCCCCTGCAGGGCCAGACCTTCCTCCCGAGTCGCCGCGCGACGGCCGGCCGGGGCCCTCCACGGGCCCCGGCGGGCCGAAGCCTCGGCCGGACCTCGGGCCCGCTGCCCACGGGGGCCCCTCCCCAAAGGTCCAACGTCTTGGCCTGTGCTGCGCGCTGCTTAGGGCCAGGTCGGGCATGTCCTCCCACAGGCGGCAGCTGGAGGAAGAGAGAGCACAGGACCAGAACAGATTCCACCATAGCCAAAACTAATGACCCGAATCGTCTGCAGACTATCTTTTCAACTATGTTTGGATATTCCTCTTTGTAGAGGGACGCGCCCTACTTAAGCTTAGGGTTGGCCTCTCGCCCCGAGCAGCTTTTTTTGTGGTTGGGCGGCCCCGAGGCTCGACGAAGACGGCCCCCCCTGGGGACGAGACCTGCGAAGGACTGCCGCACTGCGTTGTCGACGCCAGAGGCGGGCAAACCGCAGATCCCTATCCACTGCATCTGGGGGTGTCGGGCTCAGTGGACATGGATATGGATGAGGATCGGATCCGAGGCGCAGTGGATACTTCCCAACGCACCCGAGGCGCAGTGGACATGGATGAGAATCGGCCCCCGGATCTGCTGCGCCTCGGCCTTGTGGCGCACCTTCCCGGAGGAGTCCCAAACGCGGTGGACATGGAGACAAATCTGGCCCGAACCAGAGGAGGATCAGCACAGTGCTGGACCGAAACATTGTTGTCCGTTCTGTCTTCGTCTTGTTGCTCGTTTTGCCCTGCCTGTTTTTCTGCACCTCACTGCCAACATGGACAGCAGAACACAGCCGCAGTCCAACAGACGAGCGTTCAGTTCCAGCCCTGCGTAGACACACCCTTTCGGAACTGGCCGCGGAATGCTCGGATCTGCTCTGGGCCCCGCCCTCCCTCGACCGCGAAGCGTGCCGGGGGCGAAGAAGCACCATCTGCACAACAACACAGCAGGGGCCCGACCACAAGGAACCTTCCGCAAGAAACCCTACCCTGAGACCCCAGGAAGTCCATGGCTTTTTGGCGTGGGAACGTCGCGCTTTCATGGCAACGCCATCGAAACTCAAGAAACCCAAGGCACCCTGGAAGAAAGCATGAGGAAACAATACGCTTTCGGAGCTGCGCGCGGACTTCTCGGAACGGCGCTGGGCAGAGCGCGCCAGGTGCGAGGAAGATAGAACCAGCAGCACACACATAAACGTTCGGAGTTGCGTGCGGATTTCTTGGATCGGCGCTGGACCGCTCTCCCTCTCGCGCGAAGCGCGCCAGGGGCGGTGCCGCTACGGTTGCCCGCTGCCGATCCAAAAAATCAGTGCTGAGCTCCAAAAGCTTATGCTCGTGCCGTTTTTAGTTGTAGATAGGGGTCCACGCGGACGCTGCCGGATGATCGCGCCGCATCGCCAGTTCGTCGCCAGCGCATCGACGATGCATCGGCAACGCCGGCGATGCATCGGCACCATCGGCGTGGAGCACATCGGGCTCCACACCGAGCCGCATCGCCGATGCATCGGCGAGGCGATGCGGCGCGACCTCCTCCGCGGTGCAGCGCGGTGCGGCCTGCCCCATCCGGGAGGCCTCGAAATTTTAGTCTTCGGGGCGCGCTCGCTGTCTGGGACCACGGCGCCTTCATTGAGCAGGGTCCGACCGTCCCGGCATTCCTATTGGCCTACCACGACATGCTCATCCTTAGAGACCCAACATGCTCTCAGAACACAAAGCATGTGTCAAACAAGACGGCCTCAGCCAGACATGTTCTGAGAACATACCGTGCAGACCAAAAGAGGTCCTTAGAACATTCTTTGGTGGGCCTATTTATATATAGACAGAGAGAGAGAGAGAGAGAGAGAGAGGAAAGAGAAATGTGCACATGCACCGATTCTGGCCAGACCCATCCTGAGCTCATGATCGGTGCATACGCCCTCCTGCCTTGGCCAGGAAGGCACGTGCACCGATCCTGGGCCAAGGATGGGCCCTGCCAGGATCGGAGCAGTTGTGCACAGCTCCCTCCGCCCGCAGATATCTGGGCAGGCCGGGACGCTGCGCCACTGCTCGACTCCAGTAGGGGAACAAAAAGTGACATGAACATAAAAACTCGGAGGTCCGCGCGGATTTCTCGGATCGGCGCTGGACCCCCCTCCCTGGCGCGCGGAGCGCGCCAGGGGCGGCGCCGGAGGCGCCGCCAGGGAGCCCCAGCGCCGATGCGAGAAATCCGCGCGGACCTCCGAGTGTTTATGTTTATGCCACTTCTTGTTTCGAGGGATTGCAACAAAACCGAAGGATTGCAACAAAACCGAGGGATTGCAACAAAACCGAAGGAATTTGCAATCAAAAACTGAAGGATTGCAACAAAACCGAAGGATTGCAATCCAGCGCCCCGCCCCTCCGACGGCAGGTTCAGGACGTAGACGCGCATGTTGCCCTCGAACCATTCGCGCGCCGCGGCGCGCTCCTCCCCGCGGGGCTGGCTCGGGCGGGCGGGCCCCCCCCCCCGTGGAGTTGATAAAACCGCGTGCGCGTACCACCTCGTTTTGCTGCGTTGCATCGCCATCACCAGCATCATCATCCTTGTAATCAATTTGTAATCCGCCACAAAAGAAATCCATTTCAAATCCGCCACAAAAGGAATCAATTTGAAACCCGCCACAAACACAATTGATTTGTAATTCGCCACAAAAGGGATCTATTTGGAATCCGACACAAAAGGAATCATTGTATATTTTGCCAAAAAAGGAATCAATTTGTAATCCGCCGCAAAAGAAAACCTTCTGTAGGGAGGGGGTGTAAATAGTGGGCCAATCGCTACTAGGATTCTATGAGAGGTGGATCCATCTCTCATCGGATTCTATTAGAGGTGGAAATATCTGGAATGGGATGATCTTAGAGGTGGATCCATCGCTAATAGGACCCCACTAGAGGTGGATCCATATCATATAGGGTTCCATTACAAGTGAATCCATGTCTAATCGGATCCCATTATAGGTGGACCCATCTCTGATAATATTCAAATAGCTGTGGATCCATCTGTAATAGGATTCTGTTAGAGGTGAATCCATGTGTAGCAGGATTATGTTAAAAGGTGGACCCATCTCTGTTAGGATTCCATTTGGAGCGGATCGATCTGTAATAGACTTTCAGTTGAGATGGGCCCATCTCTCATAGGATTCCACCAATTGTGGATCCAGCTGCAGTCGGATTCCATAAGAGATGGATCCATATGTGCCAGGATTCTAGTAGATGTGGATCCATCTGTAATAGGATTCCATCAGAGGTGGACCCATCTGTATCAGGATTCTGGTAGGATTGAATTGGGGGTGGACCCGTTTGTATTACGATCCTATTAGAGGTAGATCCATATGTAATAGTATTCTATTAGAGGTGGATTCGTGTCATGTAGGACCCCATCAGAGGTAGGTCGACCCATCCCTCATAGGATTCTCTCAGAGGTGGACCCATATGTAATAGGATTATATTAGAGGTGGGTCCATCTGTCATAGGGTTCTGTTAGAGATGGATCCATCCGCACTAGGATTCCATTATATCCATCTCTAATCAGATACTACTAGAGGTGGGTCCATCCTTAATAGGATCCCATTCGAGGTGGGTCCATTTGTCATAGGATTCTGTTAGAGGTGGACCAATCTCTAATAGCATGCCATTGGGGATGGAACCATCTTATTAGGATTCTATTAGAGGTGGATCCATATGTAATTGGAGTCCATTCGAGGTGTATCCATGTCTCATTTGATTCTATCAGAGGTGGATCCATCGTTAATAGAATTATATTCGAGGTGGACGCATATGTAATGGGGTTATATCAGACGTGGGTTCATTTGTAAAAGGATTATATTAGAGGTGGGTCCATCCGTACCAGGATTCCATTCGAGGTGGATCCATCTCTGATGTGATGCCATTAGTTGTGGACCCATCTCTAATGGGATTCGATCCATATGTCATAAGATTATATTTAATGTGGTTCCATCTGTAGTGGGATCTTATCAGGGATGGATCCATTCCTAATCGGATCCTATGGAAGGTGGATCCATATGTAATAGGATTCTTTCGGAAGTGGATCCATCTGTAGTACGATTATATGAGAGGTGGGTGTCTTTTGTGATGACGATGATGATGATGACGAGCATGTGTTTAAAGATGCTGCTGACGATGATGATGATGACGAGCATGTGTTTCAAAATGTTGCTGATGATGATGGTGATGGCGAGCATGTGTTTCAATGCGCTGCTGATGACGATGGTGATGACGAGCATGTGTTTCAAGATGCTGCTGATGACGATGGTGTTGACGAGCATGTGTTTCAAGATGCTGCTGATGACGATGGTGCTGACCAGCATGTGTTTCAAGATGCTGCTGATGACGATGATGATGATGATGACGAGTATGTGTCTCAAGATGCTGCCCATGACGATGGTAACGACGAGCATGTGTTTCAAGATGCTGCTGATGACGATCATGATGATGAGTATGTGTTTCAAGATTCTGCTGATGACGATGGTGATGACGAGCATGCGTTTCAAGATGTTGCTGATGATGATGGTGATGACGAGATGCGTTGGGAACAATGCGTTGTCATAATGAGTTCCACAGAGCATAATCGAGTGGGAAGCACAGCCCACCAGACTAAAGTTATCCTCTATTTACCCTTCATCCTCCTCCTCCTCCGCCTCCACCTCCGTCTCTTCCTCCTCGCCCCTCTTACTTCCAGTGTGTGAGCGCCGAAGCGCGTTCCAGAGAGATTAATAAGCCTTAATATCTCGATTCTCTGGCCTCCGGAGGCCCGAAACAAACATTAGCGGATTACAAATTGATTTCTTTTGCTGTTGAATTACAAAAGGGAATCCTTTTGTGGTGAACTACACATTGTTTTATTTTGTGGCAGATTACAAAAGGATTCCTTTTGTGAAGAATTACAAAAGGACTTCTTTTGTGGAGGATCACATGATGATTCCTTTTTGTGGCGAATTACAAAAGGGAATCCTTCTGTGGTGAATTACACAAGGACCTCTTTTGTGAGGATTACAAAGGGATTCCCCTTGGTGGAGGAATACAATGGGATTCCTTTGTGGAGGATTACAAATTGATTTCCTTTGAGGGCTCTCCTGGAAGTGAACCAGGGGACAAAAAAAAAAAAAAAAAATCTTTGCAAATTAAAATAAATTGCAGGTTTTCAATGAATTTCCAATGTTTTGAAGCAAAAACATATAAAAAACACAGCATTTCCAAGGTTTTGAGGCCGTAACCATACGAAAACACAGCATTTTTGCATTCGGATTGTGAAAATGCTGTGTGTTTTTAAATGTTTTTGCTTCAAAGCATTGAAAAATAATCGAAAACCTGCCATTTTTTTAATTTTCAATGATTTTCTGATATTTTTTTTGTCCCCTGGTTCACCTCCAGGAAAGCACTAAAAGGAAATCAATTTGTAATCCTCCACAAAAGGAATCCCTTTGTATTCCTCCACCACAGGGAATCCCTTTGTAATCCTCCGCAAAAGGGATCCTTTTGTAATCCTCCACAAAAGGAACCCTTTTGTAATCCGCAACAAAAGGAAATTATTTGTAATTCACCATGAACAGAATTCCCTTTTAATTACCCACAAAAGAACTCAATTTAAAATGTGCGGCAACAGGAATCGTTCTGCATTCCACTACTTTGAGCAATCCCTTTAAAGATGACGAAAAGCATAATCAACAGGAAAGCAAACACATCAGAAGTAATAGACCAAAAACCGAGGTGGTACACACACACACACACACGGTTTTATCAACCGTACCCCCCCCCCCCCCCTGTGCGCCCCGCGCGCGCGGGGCTCGCGCGGCGAGCTGCGTGGCAGGTCTCTCCTCGCGAGGGAGAGATCTAAGTGTCAGTCGGGCCTGTCCCCCTGCAGGGGTTTTTTTGGACGAAAAAATAGAAAATACCAAAACAATGCGCAACATATGCTCAAATTTACGTTTAAAAAATGCTCCCCCGACTTTCTTTCTTTTTTTCTGTACTATTTTTGGATGTTCCCCCTGTAGAGGGACAGGCCCGACTTAGATCTAAGTGGGCTTAGATCTAAGTCGTCACTTCGCCGATTCACACTTCGCCGCGAAGTGTGAATCGGCGGTGGACACACCTCCCTGTAGCAAACCACCCCTTAGTGAAAAACGACCTAGGACCAGAACCGACGGACCTGGACCCGCAAAAAGGACGGCCGCGACGCCCTCTCAAGAACCGAAAACGGCCGATCCGCTAATCGACGCACCAGGGTCGGAGGTCTATCAACCTCCGAGCGAAGCGGCGGGGAAGAGAGGAGAGGCCCAACGACTTCGAGCATCAGCCGGAGGAGCTGGATGGGGGCAGGGGGGCACGGCGCGGCCGCCGCGGGGAGGAACGAGGGAGAGAGAGAGAGAGAGGGAAACAACAAGAAGAACTTACCCCGCTTCTGTAAAAGGGATCGTGGCCGTCTGGGCCAAAACGGTAGCCGGCATTGAGGCGGGAACACGATTCCTGAAAGTAGGTTGTGAGGAAGACTCAGGCTACGTGGCTGCCGGACGGGACAGTCTAGGGCTCGCCGTCTCCCCCGTGGGATGACGCTGTGGTCGCTTCTCCGCCCGTTTAGGACGCGACCGAGGAAAACGCGAGAGAGAGAGAGAGAGAGCGAGAGAAAGAGTGGAAACGCGAGAGAGAGGGCGAGAGAAAGAAAAACATGTTTCACCCCCCCCGGGCGACCGCGACTGCCTTGCACGCGCGGGCGCTGCGCATGCACCCCAGTGTGGTGCTCCGTCGTGCCGCCTGGCCGTCGCAGCAGACGCTGTCCTGCACAGCCGCCCTCGCGAGCGGTCCGTCGGAGACGCCCGCGCGCTCCAGCCTCGGGCGAAGACGACTGCACCGCACGCGGGCGCTGCGCATCCACCACGGCAGGGCGTCGCTCCGCAGCGCGCCCCCCTCGCGAAAGAGCGAGAGAGAGAGAGAGGGAGAAGAAGCAATAAGCAAAGGGAGGAAGAGCTGGGGCTCCCAAGACGGTGCGGTGACAGACCCTGCGGCGAGCTCGGAACCCCCAAAGCTCTCGCCGCACGCTCCGCCACCGCACCGTGGTGGGGACCTCTCGGAGGCCCCCGTCGCCCGCGACGTCCCTGGAGAACGGCCCGAGTGCAAAAAAAGCCTCGTGGCCACGCCGAGCCCCCACTCACCACTGAAGGGGCCCCAGGACACACACACACACACACACACACACACACACACACACACACACACACACACACACACACACACACACACACACACACACATAAATACACACAAATAACAATAATCCCAATATTTTCCAATACTTTCTGGGTTTCTGCCTTCCCCCCCATTTTCCACATTTTCCCATATTTTCTGGGGAATCGAGGATTAATTGTGCCTGTGTGTTTTTTCCCTCCTGAACCACTCCGCGGTCGCAGCGGCAAGGGCGAGGGGCGGGCCGCAGAGGCAAGGACACGAGGGCACCCTATGGATGAATGCGCGCGCGTCCTTACCATGGGCGCGCGTTGACTGCAGCCAACGCGACGCGTAGGGCCCCCCCTGGCGAGGGCCTTTCTGCGACGCGCTGCGGCGGTCCATGGATTCTTGGCGCGCGGTCGCCACATCCATAGACCGTGGGCGGTGCCGTTTCCCAAAATGCGGAGGAGGAGGAGGAGGAGGAGGAGGAGGCGGAGGCGGAGGCGGAGGCCGGTGCCGCCTCGTTCGGCGGCGGGAATCCGCGATTGCCCATGGAAACGGGACCAGTCGCTAGTCCACGCCCCCTTGGGCCATGTGTGCGATCGCCTGGCGAGGGGAGATCGGGCACCAGGGGCATCGGGCGGGCGAGGGGCTACCCCCACTGTCTGCGGCACCGCGCCCCGCGAGCCGGGGCAGGCGCCCCCGCCTCCTCCTCCTCCTCCTCCTTCTCCTCCTCCTCTCTGCACCTGCCTCTGCCTCGCCCTAGCTCGCTCCCCTGAACCCGACAACGCCCCAGACGGAGCCAAGGGCGGGGATCGACAGCGCCCCGGACAGAGTCCAAGGGCTCGTCGCTGGCCGACGAAGCCGCGGCTCCTCAGGATCCGCCCCGCCCCCCACCCCCTTCCCACGAGGCGAGGGGAGGGGGAGGGGAGGGGAGGCAGGGGAGGGGGGGCAGGGGAGGCAGCAGGCGCTGATGGGGGAGGCAGGGAAAGGGGGAAGGGGGAGCCGAGGGAAGCACGCAGGCAGGCGAGGGGCAGGAAGCGGTGCGTTGGCACGGGCAGAACAAGGGGCAGGCAAGGGGGGAGGGGGGGGGCAGCTCCTCCCTCCCATCCCCTCCCCTCCCCATCCCCTCCCTCCCCTCCCCCTCCCCCCCTCCTCCTCCTCCTCTTCTTCTTGTTCGTATTATTCTTCTTATCCTTCTTCGTCTTCTTCTTATTCTCATTATTATTATTATCATTATTATCCTCCTCCTCCTCCTCCTCCTCCTCAACCTCCTCCTGCTCCTCCGCCTCCTCCTCCGCCTCCTCCTCCTCCTCCTCCTCCGCCTCCTCCTCCTCCTCCTCCGCCTCCACCTCCGCCTCCGCCTCCGCCTCCGCCTCCGCCTCCGTCTCCGCCTCCGCCTCCGCCTCCGCCTCCGCCTCCTCCTCCTCCTCCTCCTCCTTTCCCTCAAAGTCCTCTTCCTCCTTGCGGGCCGAAGAATCAGACAAGCAGAAGTCAGATGACCTTCCCGAGTCCGCGGACCGAGGGGTCGCTTCTCATCCAGAATCCTTGTTTGATGTGATGGCATTGGGCCTCGAAACCGACCCTCAGAGAGACAGACATCTCGCAGCAGTGCCGAAATTGCACAGCCCTGCGCTGGCTGCGACGCGAGACCAAGGGACGGGGGAAGGAGGAAGAGATGGAGAACAAGGTTGAGGAGAAGGAGGAGGAGGAGGAGGAGGAGGAGGAGGAGCAGCAGCAGCAGACGCAGCATCAGCTCTCATCCAGGAGCCCATGGGGTCATGGGAACAACACCCGAGCGGACCCATACGAAACTTCGGCGTGACCCGAGGCGAGAGGGATAGGGGGAGGAGGGTACGGCAGAACCAGTCGTCATGAGAAACCCGATCCGCCCAATGTCTGAAGACACGAGAGATGGTGGCGGCATGCGCGGCTCCTCCTTGGACCAGTTCCTCCACTCCCCAAACTCGGCGCGGTCGCACACATCGGAGTCCTCTGGATCCCGGGCGGATGCGCGGGTGTTGCTCCCTCACCTCTCCCATCTCTGGCGTCTCTCCACCTCCTTCTCCTGCTTCTCCTGCTTCTCCTGCTTCTCCTGCTTCTCCCCCTCCTCTCCTCCTCCTCCTCCCTCTCCCTGCTCCTCCTCGCTGCTCCTCCTCCCTGCTCCTCCTTCCTGCTCCTCCTCCCTCATCCTCCTGCGCAAGACGCTCGGGGCAACTGAATCCGCGTCCCCGACCTACGAAACCTCAAACGAGATCACCGAGCACGTGAAGGGGGAGTCTCACGCACGCACAATCCGCCACCGTGCCGCCTGGGCAGAGAGTGGGCCTGCCCTCACCTCATCCCCTCATCCTCCTCCCCTCCTCCTCCCCTCCTCCTCCTCCTTCTCCTCCTCCTCCTCCTCCTCCTCCTCCTCCTCCTCCTCCTCCTCCTCCTCCCTCCCCTCATCCTGCAAGCCTCAATCCTCACTCCTGCGGAGTCTTTAAGGGGCCGGACCCCAACTTCCCAAAATCTACTTGGGCTTGTCGCGCGCCCCCGTGTGGCTTCTCGCGGCTTCTCCCGTGATGTTTTTTTTGAAGCCGCGAGGGCCCCAGGATGCCCCCAAGGCGGACCCGGAACGCCCCGAGACGCCCAAAGACGCCCGAGACGCCAAGAGGCCCCAGATGGCCACAGACGCCGGGAGAAGCCTCCAAGAGGCCTCCCAAGAGGGCACCAAGAGGCAACAATCGTTGATGTTCGTTAGGTTTTTGATGGATTTTCGCGTGCTCACCTCTTCTGCTTTCTGACGCTCCCAGACGGCCCTAGAGTTAGGTCGGGCCTGTCCCCCTACAGGGGGATTTAGAACAAAAAATAAAAATACCATAACAAATTATCAAGCAATAATCAGAAATGGTAAGGAAAGCGTCCCCTGACTATTTTGTTTCCATTTTTGCATATTTCCCCTGTAGAGGGGACAGGCCCGACTTAATCCTAGAGGCCCCCAAGACCACCCCAAGACGTACCAAGAGGCCTCCAAGAGGTTCCCCAGGCGGCCTATACGAACGCCCCGAGATGCCCCAAGAGGCGCCCAAAAGACAGCCAGAGAGGGCCCCAGGACGGCCCCCAAGGGGGCCCAAGAGAGGAAACGCGAGCCGAAAAGCCAAGCCTCCCGCCCCAACAGACCCCAGGGAAGACCCAAGAGGCGCCCAAGTGGCCCGAAGAGGCCCCCAAGAGGGTCGCAAGAGGCCCCAAGAGGCCCAAAAGCGGCCTCACGAGACCCCACAACGGCCCCAAAAAAGATTCATCACTGCCTCCAAGAGCCCCCCGAGAGGCCCCCCACGAGATCCCACGGTGGCTGGATGGACCGAGGGTCGCTAGATCCGCCGCCCCCTGTCGATTCATCGCAGGGGTGTCTGGCGTGCTAGATGATTTCGGTTTTGGTTTTGGTTCTTTTCCAACAAAAACTCCTCTGGGGGCTCCTGCGCGTCCCGCCGGCCACCCGAAGACCCGGTTGCAAACGGTTTTCCTGCCCCAGACGGCCCCAAGATGGCCCAAGATGGCTTCCAAGACGGCTAAGATGGCCCCGATATGCCTCCAAGACGGCCCACGATGCACCCAAGGTGGCGCAAGATAACCTCAAGATGGCCCAAGAGGCATCAATACGGCCCAAGAGGCCTCCAAGAGATGCTCCAGGAAGGCCCGAAGAGGGCAAAGTCATAGATTTTCCGTTAGTTTGAAAGATTTTCGCATTTGCTTGTTCTCGGCCTTCCGACGGTTCAAGACGGCCCAGGAGGCCTCCAAGATCGCCCGAAGATCGCCCACGAGGCCTCCAAGATGGCCCCATGACGGCCTAAGAGGCCACCAAGGCGACCCCAACAGGGCCCTAAGACCGCCCAAGACGCCTCCAAGACGTCCAAGATGGCCTCCAAGACGGCCCCGAAGCTCCCCAAGAGGGCCCCAAGCCGGTTCAGAGAGGCCCCCAAGACGGCCCAAGAGGCCTCCAAGAGGGCCTCCAGGAAGGGCCGAAAAGGCAAACATCTTGGATTTCCCTTGAGTGTTTGAAGGATGTTGGGATTTGCTTTTGTTATGCCTTCCGACGGCCCGAGACGGCCCAAGTGCCCCCAAAGATCGCCCAAGAGGCCCAAGACGGCCCCAAGAGGCCCCCAAGACGGCCCAAGAGGCCTCCAAGACGCTCAAGATGGTCTCCAAGACGGCCCAAGAGACCTCCAAGACGTCCTCCAAGAAGGCTCGAAAGGGTCATAATGACATCCAGACGGCCAAGATGACCTTCTGAATGCCCAAGTGTTCCCCGAAGGCTTTCCGAACCGATTCGGGGAACACATGGTCCGATAGCTTGCCAGGTATGGCCTCAACGTTCGGCCACATAAGCGCTTCCAGAAAGGCAGGGGGCGGCGGTGATTCGCCGTAGGCGTCTTCGATCCGCCGCCCCCTGTTGATTCATCACAGGGGTGCCTGGCGTGCCAAATCCTATCGTTTTTGGTGTTGGTTCTTTTTCCAAAAGAACTCCCCCTGGGGCTTCCGCCCGTCCCGCCGGGGTCCCGGAAGGATTGCCCAGACCCGGCTCCAAAGGGCTGTTCCTGCTCCAGGCGGCTCCAAGACGCCCCCAAAGATCGCCCAAGAGGCCCAAGACGGCCCCAAGAGGCCTCCAAGACGGCCCAAGAGGCCTCAAACACTCAAGATGGCATCCAAGACGGCCCCCCAAGACGTCCTCCAAGAAGGCCCGAAATGATCAAAATTGCCTCCAGGCGGCCAAGATGACCTTCAAGATGCCCACGTGTTCCCCGAAGGCTTTCCGAACCGATTTGGGGAACACATGGTCCGATAGCTTGGCAGGTCTGGCCTCAACGTTCGGCCACATAGGCGCTTCCAGAAAGGCAGGCGGCGGCGGTGATTCACTGTAGGCGTCTTCGACAACGCACGCCTGCCAACACACCTGTTCTCTCCACGGTGGAGCCTGTCCGAGATCCTGCCCGTCAATGCTGCCCGCTGCGACGTAGATGGCTGGGCAAGAGAGGCAAGACGATCAGAGAGAGCACAAGACAAGACAAGACAACATGAACAACGGATGCTCCTCAACCACCTCCCTCCCCTCTCCCCCCTCCTCCTCCGCGTCATCGAGGATACGTGTGTCCCCGCTGTTGGCCTCCAGTGTCCGCCAGAGGCATCCGCGGGGGCCTCCAGGGATTTCTGGAGCCCTCCAGGGACTACTTCCTTCTCGTACTACCCCTCCTCCTCCTCCTCCTCCTCCTCCTCCTCCTCCTCCTCCTCAGCATCAGCAGCATCATCAACAGCATCATCATGATCATCATCATCATCATCATCATCATCATCATCATCATCATCATCATCATCATCACCATCATCATCATCGTCATCATCAGCATCATCATTATCATCATCCTCGTCATCATCAGCATCATCATCGTCATCATCAAAATCATCATTATCATCATCATCATCATCAGCATCATCATCATGACCATCATCATCATCATCAGCAGCAGCATCCTCATCATCATCATCGTCATCATCAGCATCATCAGTATCATCATCCTCGTCATCATCAGCATCATCATCATCGTCATCACCAAAATCACCATCATCGTCATTATCATGACCATCATCATCACCATCACCATCAGCATCAGCATCATCATCATCATCATCATCATCATCATCATCATCGTCATCATCAGCATCATCATCAGCATCAGCACCATCATCATCAGCATCAACATCCACATCCTACTGTGTCTCCCCCCTTTTCCTCACCAACCTCCACCTCCTCCTCCTCCACCTCCTCCTCCACCTCCACCTCCACCTCCACCTCCTCCTCCTCCTCCTCCTCCTCCTCCTCCTCCTCCTCCTCCTCCTCCTCCCCTTCCTGCTCGTCTCATAAACACTAACGACAGAATCATCATCACGAAATCCATCACACTCACCATCGCTATCGCTCGGCGTGATGGGTGGCGCCTGTTTGCCCGGGTCGGTGGTTGGCATCTCGCTTCGGACATGGCGCTCGTCGGCAATTCGAACGGAGTACTGCGTCGGCGCAAGGGACATCGGAGCATCGCAGGAAGTGTAGAGGAGCATGGCAATAAGACCACCCTCCCTCCTGTTCTTGCACATCCTCCTTCTCCTGCTCATCAATATTCCTCCAACTGGTCTCGATCCTTCTCCCTATACGTCCTCATCCCCGTCTTTCAGGAAAAGGTACAGGAACTGAATTATCATCATCTGTTGGAGGTCCGCGCGCGTTTCTTGGATCTGCGCTAAACCCCCCTCCCTGGCACGCGGATCGCGACGGGGGGGCGATGGAGGCGCCACCAGGTGGGCCCAACGCTGTTCAAATAAATCAGCGCGGGGAGTCATCAGTTTATGCTTATGCAGTATTTGTCTTCTTCGATCTACATCCTGCTCCCCCTCCTGCTCCCTCTTTCCCTCTACTCTTCCCCCCGTCCTCCTCTTTAACCCCCCTCCCTCTGTGGCACGTCCCCATCCCTCCTGCTCTTTAATCCTCCTCCTTCTCCTTCTCCTCAGCCTTCTGCCCTCCTCGATCCCCTTCCTTCTCCTTCTCCCCCACCCCCCTTTGGCGGCGCGCACAAGGGGGTAGGGGGAGGGGGGGAGGCGTCTTAGAAAGAGGCTGCTTCTTCGAAGGCGCTGGCCCTACATCTACAGACAAGGCCCGCGCGTTCGAAGGATCACAATGCTTCTACGAAGTCTTCCCCCCTCCCCCTACCCTACTCTGCGCATGGCCGGCTCGAGGAGGCGAAGGAGCCACTCGACCAAGCAAGCTTGAGCCCCACTCCTGCCCTCATTTCCAGAAGTCACCCCCCCTCCCAGACCTCATACTCTCCTCTCCTTCCTCCTTCTCTTCCCCCCTCCTCTTGCCCGCCCCGTCCCCCTTCACTCCACCCTTGAGTTAGGTCAGGCAGGTCCCCCTACAGGCGGATTTTGAAGGGAGACAGAAACAACAGCCCAACAATGCAGCAAAACATAGCCAAACGGCAAAATCATTGAAAGATCGTCCCCACACTATTGCTTGGCTAGTTTTGACTCTTCCTCCTTTGGGGGACATGCCCGAATTAATTAGGGGAACGCAGAAAGACATAAACATAAAAAACCCGGAGGTCCGCGCGGATTTCTCGGATCCACGCTGGGGCCCCCTCCCTGGCGCGCGGAGCGCGCCAGGGGCGGCGCCGGAGGCGCCGCCGGGGGGTCCCAGCGCGGATCCGAGAAATCCGCGCGGACCTCCGAGTTGTTATGTCTATGCCACTTTTTCCCCTATTAATAACCCTTGCTCCCCATTTTGTTTATGCCATTTTTTGGTCCCCTATTTAGAACCACTTTATGTGTATGCCATTTTTTGTTCTCCTGCTCTTCCTCCAGTAGGGGGACGCGCCCGACTTGATAACCCTTGTTCCCCCAGAGGCGGCTCCTCGAGCGGCGAGAACGGCGCTTCCGCGGGCCCCGGCGACCTCGGCGCCCCGCGGTGCGCGCGCGAGGCCGAGGCGCTCTCGCCTGCCACGCCCCCCCCTCTCTGGTGGGCCTGTTCTCCACCGCCACCACTACAAGTAGGAGGAGGGGGTCCTCCTCCTCCTCCTCCTCCTCCTCCTCCTCCTCCTCCTCCTCCTCCTCCTCCCGGGCCGGGCGAAAGGGGGGATGGCAAAGGGGGGGGTTCGAGAATCAGCTCACGTAGCTGATTTTCGGGGCGCCTCCCGGCGCCGGAGGCGGACATGTATCGAGGAATGGGCCCTTCGGTGGGGCCGAGACCATCAGGATGTCTGTCAGCGCCTCCAGCGCCCCATCGCGCAGCTCCAGCAGCTGCCTCGGCCGAATGCCCTCAGAGGATGACTACCTACCAGACCGCACCAACCGAACCCGAAGATCCAAATTTCGGGTTGGGGGGGTATGGGGTCCACATGTGTTTTTCGATGTTCCCGGACCCCCCCCACTGGAAATGGAGGGCAAATTGAAGCCTTCTGGTTGGGTTGGGGTGGTTTGGTGGGTGGTGAGAGGAGGCTGCAGTGCCTCGCCGAAAGGGCCTCAGGCACTTCTTCAAGTCTTCCAGCGAGGGCCTGGGAGGGCGCTCGCCCAGGTCCTTGGGCCAGCGCACGCTGACCTGGTCACGCCCGACTCTCCAGAGCCTCCACCACTCATCTTCCAGCTGGCGTATCTCGACCTCCTGGCTGGCTGGCGAGCCCCACGACTACCCCTGGTCAGCTGGGCTGTCCTGCCAACCGATGGGCACCCGCGTGACGGCATGTAGCCCTCCTGCTCTTCCTCGCAGCTGTAGCTGAACCCGCTCGTCGAACTGCCGCCCCCTGTCAGCGAGGCCCCGCTGCGCCAATGCTTGAGCATCGGCGCGTGCCTGCTCAGCTATCCAGTGCAGTACGCCAGCGGGCGCACGACTGGCCTCCTCGTCCTGCACTGCCTTCCACCACAGCAGCGCGGCTCCTGCCAAACCCACGGCGTGGTCGGCGCTGGAGGCCTGCCCCTGAGCAGCCCTGGCCTGCAGCCGCTGGAGCGCACCCCTCGCCAAGCGGGGGGGGGCTCCTCAGCGACGTCGTCTTCTCTTGGGACCTCTGGTCCTGCGGCGCCGCCCTCAAGCAGTTGGCCACCCTGGCCATCCAGGCAGCCTCCACCGTGACCCTTGGCGCCCTTATTCCGGTGACTGCTGTCTGCCGCACCCGCTTGGTGACGACGCGATCCGAACGCCCGACGTGCTGAGAATTTTCCTCCACTTGAAATGTGCCCACCAGGTCTTGCTCCGCTGCCGTGAGGAAACTGCGCCGGGCCATCGTCAGCGCCGTGGGCTGCCCGATCATGCTGTTGCCCCCTGCTGCATCTCCTCGCGCTGCGTCAAGCACTCGTTGCGCAGACTGGCCGACTTCGACCCGCTTGGCATCTTGGTCTGACTTGCAGCAGCCCGCGCCGTGGGGGAGAGCTTGGGCGCCTGCGCGACCTGCAACCACGGCCGTACCCAAGTGCCTTGACCTTCAGGATGACTGGCGAGCGGGGGAACACGGGCGATCCTGGCACCACCTGCACGCTGACAACCTGCATCTCGCGCGAGACCAGGGAGAGAGAAGTCAACGATCCTGCCCGAGGCGGCGCAGGTCGCCACCGCTGGCCTCACAACCTCCGCGTCGAAGCACTTCAGGAGATCACTCTGCACCAGCTCGTCGTACTCTACGTCGAAGCCGCCACCCATGATGCACGGCCTCGTAGACTGCTTGAGACATCGCGCCACATCGAGCAGAGCCTTCCTGTTGGTCTGGTTCATCCTGACGCCCGCCTCCTGGCACACGTTGACGAGCAGGACTCCTCCTTTGCGCACCCCCGAGTCGCATGCCGCGTGCATCCTGCCCGGCACCACCAATGCTGGTTGCTTCACCTTCAGCTCCGCCAAACCATGCATCTCCTTAACCATCGTCAACAGCCCTCCTGTGCGAAAACCTCCTGCCTCTGACGCGATCACTGCCGTACGCCGTCCTCTCCAGCCTGCTGCTCGCACCTGGGCCTCCGAGTCGCTGCTCCTGCCCGCCGTCAGCCTTGTTTCCTTGAACAACACCGCGCCGCAGCCCTGCATCTCCTCCACCTCCATGCACTCGCCGAAACTGCTGGAGGCGTTGAAGTTGAGAACGGCAACCTGCCACTCCTCGCCATGCTTGTCGCGCCCGCGGCGCCACGGCAGCTGCCCTGACCCTGCTTTCGCCAGCAGCGCAGCGAGCACTCTCAAGGGCGCGATCGTCGCTGCTGGACCTCCGAGGGAGCGACTAGGGCAGGCCCCAGATGTTGCATCACCTGGATGGCGAACCCTCTCGCAAGTACCTGTGTCCTCCTGTGGTGCGGGGGGCCTCACGTCCGTGCCCGTAGCCCCATCAACTTGAACTGGCTCTTTCCTGCGATTCCGCACGGCCGCCTGGCTGGACATCGAACCGCCAGTCCCGCACACACAGGGGAGACTCGGGGCCACCTCTGCCATCGCGCACCTCGCCCCCTGCACTCCACGGCACCACGAGGTTGGAGTCCAGCAGCAACTGCCTGACCTCCTGGGCCCACGGGGACGGCGCGAACCCGAACCTGTGGCCCTCCAGCACCACGTGGACCAGCGCATTACCCTTGCCGCGGCCTCTTCGCCAGACGTGAACACGCCTGCTGCAGAACTTCGACGTACCGCTTGTGCTTGTCTGGCTGGGTGGCTCCATCAGGCGCCGCTGCAGCACCTGCGAGCCATGCCGCCTCTTCCTCAGAAGGGTGGGGCTTCTTCGTCCCGGCCATCGCTGGTGCTGATGGCTCGGCCCCGCTCCCTGGCACTACTCCTGGAGCATCTTCGGGCGGCCCTGGTGCTCCTGGCGATGCTGCGCACCCATCGCCCCCACCAGCAGCAGATGGCGCACCACGAGGAGCTGCAGGCACCTCCTCAGCAGCCCTCCGCTCCAGGTCGGCTGCCAGCTTGGCGAGGCCCGCTGCCAGCCCAAGCTCCTCGAGGCTGGCTCCCACTCGGCCTGCGAGGTGCACGCATTGCACGCGGAGCACGTCCACGTCGTTGGCGACGCCTCGGCTCGGCCCTTCTGCAGCAACGCGCGCCCGGACCTCGACCTGATACGCGCGAGCCTTCTCCTCAGCCTGCTTGGCCTCCTGCACCTTGGCGCGCGCCGCCTGCAGTGCTGCCTGGCGCCGCTGCTCCTCAGTCTCCGCTGCGACCAGCGTGGCCGCCGCCTTCTCGGCGCGGAGGTTGGTCCCGCGACTCGCGGGCTGACCGCAGCTGCGCCTCCACGTCCGCGAGCGCCGCCGCCCAGTGGCCCGACGAGCAGCCGCACTCCGTCTCGAGGCACTTCTTCTTGCGCAGCCACTTCTCGACCTCGCTCGGCCCCTAGGTCCAGGGCCGCGCATTCTACTGGCCCGCCCCAGCTCCTGCCTTGGAGGACGTGTCCTCCAGGGCCTGGAGGGCCTTCTCCCGCTCTTAGACCGTCTTGAGCTTCGCCGCCAGGGAGGCCGCCTGCTGCTTCGCGCCCGCGCCTGCCGCCGACCAGGCACCTCCAGCACGCGGCGCATGACAGTGGAGGTCGCGGCGGTGGGTGCGAAAGCCGAACTGATCGCCCAGCCCACACACCCAGCACTTCCACGTCGGCCCATCGGGCGCCCCCCCTCGCTGCCTGCCATCCGCGACCACGTGCCCGCGCCGCTGCCCGACTGGGCCTGGGGCCCGCGCTGGCGCCCTGCTGCATGCCCGCCGCCTGATCCAGAGCCGCCCGCCATCTGCGCACCCCGCGCGCCGATACGGACCCACACCTGAGAGCAAGCCGCGGACTAGCGGTATCCACGTGTTCCCCTGTGGAACAAAGCATCCTGAGCCAAAATGGCTACGGAGAGGAAGAGGAGGAGGAGAAGGAGGAGGAGGAGGAGGAGAAGGAGGAGGAGGAGAAGCAGGAGGAGAAGGAGGAGGAGGAGCTCCTCATCCTCCCTTCTCCCCCGTCCTACGTACGTATGGCAGCGGTGGTGGACAAGTTGCCCCTCAAGATGCTGCTCCCCCGGGATGCGCGCGCACTGGGGCCCTGGCAGCCCCATGCGCGCCGCCTCCTCGCGCAGGCCGGCCCACGGGATGTGGTCCTGCCCCCGCGCGTCGCGGTGCTTTGCTTTTTGCCTCTGTGCGGGGGCAACGATAGGGGGGGGACTGGCATAGGGGGGGAGCTGGCATAGGGGGGGCAACGATAGGGGGGGTCCTGACATTGGGGGGGATGCATCGACTTGGAATCGGCGATGCATTGCCGACAGATCGGCGACAGGCCCCCGATAGTGAGTCCGAACCTTCCTGGGCAGGTTGGGGCTATCGGGCCCCTGTCGGCGATCCATGGGCGATTGGGGATCAATGCATCCCCCCTGATGTCTATTCCCCCATATCGTTGCCCCTGATTTTCATCATTCACACGCCATCTTAGTCCCCACCCTTGCCCCTGGGGCTGGCGTTTCCTTCCGAGTCGTCCCCTCTTGCTGGCCCCGAAGAGCCCGAGGAGAGGGCCCCCAGAGGCCGAAGACGCCCCCACAAAAAAAGCTGCGCCTTGACTCTCGTCAAGACGTCGGATGTACACCCTGGGTTTCTGAATAAGCGTGGGGGGAGTACGCACCCCGACGGGGGTCAACCTCGCCTCCTCCTCCTCCTCCTCCTCCTCCTCCTCCTCCTCCTCCTAGGGCCGAGGCCCGAGGTCCCCCCGCGAGCGGCCCTGAGGACGGGTTTCTGAATAAGCGTCGGGGGGGTACTCACCGCGACGGGGGTCAACCTCGCCTCGTCGTCGCGCCGCGACGGGGGTCGCAGCGCCTTCGGCGCGCGGCAGCTGCCCGCGACGGGGGTCGATGTGGGGCCGTCGGCGGGGGTGACGCCCCCCCGACGCTTGTTAAGAAACTCGGAGTAGGGAGAGGGGTGGCGGCCGCGACCTGGCTGCCTCTTTTCAATGAAGATCCGGCGTCGCGAACAAGAATTGCAACAACCAGAAAATCACGATCAAAAGCCCTGGACCACGTCTTGCTGCGGCATTCCTCTGGCCGGGTCGATCCGCGAGGGTCCCAGGAGCCCGCCACAGGAGTGGAATCAAACGGTGAGAAAAATTAGCGCCGATCTCAGGAGTCCGCGGTGCGATCTTTGCCCAGATCTCAGGGAAGCGCGGTGCAATCGCTCCCACCGCTGTTGAACAGATTACCCCGACAAAACACCCTGATAGCAGCAAGAGATGCAGCCGGGACAGAGTTGGAAGGGCGGCCGCGTGTACCTGATATTTGCTTGCATTACTGATCGTGGCCGTCCAGACCATCACTGATGGAGTCCGACTGATGGAGTCTGGCTGATGATATTTGGCTGCGGTGCTGATAGAGTCCGACTTCATCTCATCGTCGTGAGCCCAGCACCCGAACAAGACGACCAAGACACCTGCCAACACGACGCCAACCGACACCGGCGTCGGAAGGGAACCAACTCCAGCAGGGAAGTTCGCTAGTGCTGTCTGGCCTTTGTTTTCCCCCGCACGTGCACGCATAGAGAGGTTACGACCTCCACGCTCCGGCCCAAGGAGGCAAGGACCTATGTCCTGATGAGAGTGCGAGTGTGAATCGTGGCCGTCCAGACCAACAATGCGGCCGGCACTGAGGCGAGAGCATGGCTCATGAAGAAAGTGCGAGGAAGTCTCAGGCGAAACGGCGGCTGGACTGGGCGATCTAGGGCTGCGGTCTGTGGCTGCCCGTCCTCCCCACATGGGACTATCGTGGTGCGGCCCTCTGGTACGACACGAAACTCAACACATGCAAACACCCGCCAACGAGTGTGCCCTATGCGTTCCAGAGAGGGGGGCGGGGTGCGTAACATCGCTGGCTCTGAGTGGTGATGTGTGCACCCCGCACCCTCCCCACGAGACCCAGACACACTCCACTGGAGGGCGTCAGTGCGAATATGTTTGAAGCAGATTCTGCACCTCTGCGGCAAGCAAAAATCCACTGGGGGGTGTCAGTGCGAATATTTCAGGAGCAACATCTGCACCTCTGTGAGAGACCTTCTCGCGAGACGAGGTGAGGAGGGAGGGGGAAGGGGGATGAGGGATGAGGGGAGGAGTTGAGGAGGAGGGGCGGAAGTGAGGAGGAGGAGGAGCAGGAGGAGCAGGAGGAGGAAGAGGAGGGGGAGGCGCAGAGGAGCGGGAGGAGGAGGGAGGAGGAAGAGGAGGACAGATGGAGGAGAGGCAGCTCCCCCCCTCCTCCTCCTCCTCCTCTGCCTCCTCCTCCGCCTACTCCTCCTCCTCCTCCTCCTCGCCCACTCCTCTTCCTCCTCCTCCTCCTCCTCCTCCTCCTCCTCCTCCTCCTCCTCTTCCGCCTGCACCTGCGCCTCTGTGAGAAGCCTCTCCTGCGACACGCTGTTCGGGAAAACTCCGAGGGAGGGGCACCGAGCGCTCGGCGGTTGTAGCAGGGAGGAGGAGCAGGAGGCGATAGAAGGAGGAGGAGGAGGAGAAGGAGGAGGAGGAGGAGGAGGCGAGAAGGACGAAAGGAGGAGGAGGAGGTTGAGGAGGAAGAAGAGGAGAAGGCGAGAAGGAGGAAAGAAGGAGGAGTAGGAGGAGGAGGAGTAGTAGTAGTAGTAGGAGGAGGAGGAGGAGAGGCCCTTGGTGGCACGAGGGAGAGGGATGACTAGGCCCTGGGTGGTTAGGAGAGGGAGGAGGAGGAGGAGGA